ATATTTCTTTTATAACACTTTAGCGCTATTAAATTCTGATAAATATATTAATGTACACTATTATGTGAATAAAGAAAAAATACTCGTCTTAAAAAAAGATCAAAATACCAAATGTTGTGAAAATGATCTCAAAAAAATTAAATAAATCTATGTTATTTTGGCAACAAAGTTTGATTGTTCTGTAATTAATCGTTTCTTTAAATATTATGAAATGGGCTTTGTTAATTATTTGTTTTTTTTTCTTTTTTGATACCCTCCAAAAAAAGTCATAAATACAGAATGCTGCATTCTGGCAATAGACGTTTGAGTGGGTGTGTGCATGGACGAGAGTCTTTTAACTATCAACCCTAACTAACCCGTTTTGTTTTCAATGTTTGAAAGTTATTTAATATTATAGCTCATAAAACCCATAATATTTTATGAACAATGATATTATAAAATGTGCACAATTAGTCTCACGTTTATCTTTCTCTATATTTTCTCCTAATCGCAGAGTGAACGGTCGACGAAGAGTATAACTCTGAAATCGTATGAGACGATTCAGAGCATTTTTAAATGACTGATGATCGATGGTGGAATACTAGTAAAACTATATAGACACCATCACGATTTCAACAATTATAAATCCAGTATATTTTAATAATCTATTATGTTGGAATACGTAACATGTATTATTATTGTGTGTGTATACATTTATACGTATTTACTAAAAATGTCTACGAATTTGCATGAATAATGAACAGCAGGTAGGTACATCAGCGTTGGTATGACGCAGCACCGACCGTTAACCGTTTTCACAACAATACCATCTGAAATTACTGTTATTAATCATTTCGTTTCACTAAATATTTATACGAATACAATAATTTATTACTAAGTTTTCAATCGAATGTCCATTAAATCTTAAGGTAAGATAAATGTGCGCTGTATAATACACATAAATGAACCACTCATCGCTGGCGTATCTAAAAAATCCAATCGCATTATCAATATTAATTATTACGAAAACGTGGAACCGATATTAAAATATTATGTTCTACACTTCAGTTGTTTTGGAGTATGAATCTCGATATAGTGATTTATATTTGAGCTTTCTCGGAGTACATTTTAAAGAACTTGTTCCGAGTGATATAGTAGTCACGAATATTCCAAATTAAAAACTGCGTTATTGAAATCCAATTCATTATTATCCGCGATGGAAATTTAAAGAAAAAATCAACAATATGTTACAACATATTGCATAATATAAATATAACTAATTAAGATATAAAATAAAGAAAACCAGAAATATAATGACAATGAATTAAAAAAAAACAAACATAGTAACATAGTAGGTATTTAAGACATACCTACGAATATTTTGTTGGCTACCTAACATTAAAAAAAATGCAAAATTATGTATTTGTCATTAGTTGGTATACTTACACACTAAAATTGAATATAAATTACAGTTTTTGTACATCCAACAATTGAATCATTTTTATAAATTTTTGATGAAGACATATTTTAAGAGGGTTTGGTGAAAATATCTATCCTAAGTATATTGTATTTGTTTTGCAATAATGTATGTTTTATTTTCGGGTCCATCGTAAGCTTTTGGAGATTCAAACATCAACTTTGAGCGGGTTCTGGTAGAAAACTTCATCTTGTTGGTATTTTGGGTAAAAAGAAAAAATATAAGTGTTTTAAAAAAAAAAATCAAAGAGATTAAAAAAAAAAATGCGCAAACTAAAGTATTTACAGGTTAGGCCTACACTAAATTTGTTATTTTGCTGGCCGCTGGGATTCAAAAATGGATAACAGCATGGACGTAGATACTTAAAATTCAACGAAACATTAATAATATAATTGTCTGGACAATATGATATTATTTTGAGATTTTTTTACGTTGGTGCCTAATGTTATGCTCGATTGAAAACTTGAAAACTTTATACATAATTCCTGATGAGCTTTACTTGGGTAAAGCTATTTAAAAATATTGAAAATACAAAATCAGATTTTTTTGATATACCCACCTTATGACGGATTCATTTTTTAAATCTTTAAAAAATAATCACATTTTATAGTACCGTTGCTACGGTTGTCTCTGCGAAAACGGGAATAGCCTAAATTCAAATAACTAAATGAAATGTATCTACATAAATACAAAATATTTGAAAATAAATAGTGTATCATTATGTACGTCATTTAATTAATTACTGCGGTTGTTATGCAGATTGAATGCATGATAAAGTTTTTATTTTTGGAAGGACTTGTTAAAGTGCCAAAGGGGGTTGAAATCGTCTATCCTGGCCTAAGCCGTCTTAACTTTCACCCCCCCCCCCCCTCCCACACAATCGACGCCAATGATTTTAGTTCGGATTAATATTTCAAACGATGTTAAGTAGCGGGTTGATACGTCTTGTCATAATACCTATCTGACATAAACGGATGATTTATGTACACAGTTGACATATTTACCAGGGTATTCTAATCATAGAAATGTGAATATTGGTTAGACAACGGACATTGAGTACCCATTATACATTGACAATAAGCAACGTTCATAACATTATTGCAAATAAGTCCTCACTTTGTTCTTGCTTATTAAATGATCATACTGTTCAATAATGATTAAATACCCATAATAACAAAGGTTCACCTATTCGTCGACGACATAATCTTCGAATAATTAGTGACAGCCAAAGATTCAGTAGTTTAAATTCTTCAATACTTTTAATTGGTGCACAAAGATATCATAAACAATTCATTTATTTAAGCACAGTAAAAATTAATTAATAATTGAAAATATTAAAGTATTATAATAGAGCCACCACAACGTGTTATTTATTATAAAAAAAAAAGAACATAACTATTATGACCTTTGTATAAACCGCAAGAGTCATTATTTACCAATTATTTTTTTCCTTTTTTCTACTCTGCCCATCAATATTTATTTATTTATTGTTCCTTTTTTATTGATCCTAAATATATCGGAAACTTGGGTAATTACTAATTTGTATATTTACATTAAAGCTATTACCTACATCAAGTTAAATATTAAATTCTGTAAGTTTTAAAATAAAATATGTAAGTTTGCAATGTAGTAAGAGTTGCGGGTTGGGTACTGAGGCCTGACAGATTTCCCCAGAAATGTTGCATTGATTGCAATGAGGTTACCATTAATATTTATAGAATCATTTAATTTGTAAACGGATATTATGTTTGTAATGCGTCATAGATTGGTATAGAAAAATATGCACAAATACAAATAATAAATAAAATACTGGAGATTTGTTTAAAATGTTTTATATTAAATACCATATTTATATATCAATGGCCATAATTCATACTAATTATTCTATAAATGATTTATAAATAATTAAATGTATATTGGAGAATAAAATTCTGCACAAGAATCATTATGTTTATATAATAATGTTAAATGGACACAATCACTAATATTTTCAACTTATTTTCCAAATTTTACTGATGGAGTATCGTCCTTACTACTTATTGTTCAAAAAAACGGTATATGGCCTATATCATTCTATACTCTTTGATTAGAAATACTTAATAGGTAGCGAGGTTCCATGATGTGAATTTACCCTGACATAAATTATTTTCTTCTAACTTGTAAGGCTGGTGGAGTATTGTACCACCAATATTTATTCGAAATCCTCATAGACATAATTTATCTTTGAGCACTGAAATGATAATATTGAGAATTATTTGAGTTTTTTTATTATTCTAGAAAAAATATTTTTGTACTTTCGGTAGATACGATAGATATGTAACACATATTGATTTATCAACCATATTTTCAATGTTAAATCAGTGGTCGTCGTCGATTCATCGCTGCACGTGTTATACGGTATAAGCCTTATATATTAGTAATAATTGTGTAATCATATAATATATTATTAAATTATATATACTCACACATATTTACATGGTTTTACATATACATACTACATAGTAATATGTGAATGTACATATTATCAAAATAGAATCGTACATGCAATAAAAAACCACGACGGTTTCTGGGTCTTCTGGTTTTTTGGGTCCACAACAAATTATTAAATTGAATAATATTAATACTCAAAAAAAAAAATAATAAATGTATTCTGGTATGCGTCATCTGGAATTGAATGTAAAAGAAAACATAATATTTAGGTCAATGTCGCTTGGAGGGATCTGCAGACGCGAGAATTGTCATTTTAAAGAAACTTTGCTGGAGATATTGTTCAATTCCGAAAAAGGAAAACGCGTTATTTCCTCAGTAAAGATAACATAAAATATTATTCGTCTCACATATGAAATGCTGGGGATGATTTATGCAGTCAAGATAAAGCTCGTACCACAACTAAAACGTTGAACGTGGGACCAATAAGATCGTTTAAACAATATACGCATTTGAGACCACCACACTCGGCTAGGGTCAGGTTAGGCGTGTGTGTGTGTGTGTGTGTATTTGTGTGTGTGTATATATATATATATATATATATTGTAGAGTGTATAGGATTGGTAGGATCATTATGGAGGATTATATGTTGTTTTTATTGTGTTGCATTCTGGAGCTGAATTGAAATAGACAATTAAACGGTTAAGAAAAAGTCACGTACATATTTACGGAACTGCAGCGTTATTTATCTAATAGTCACAAATAAAAGTTAAGTACTAAATGTTTGATAAAACGTAAATAGACCTTTCATATTATCATTAAAATTGTCAATTGATGCTATAAAACTAAATAAATAAATAACAAAGATAAAGTAGAGAAAAAAAAAAATGAAATATTGTTTCTTGTACGTCCACTGACCACTGTTGTAGTACTCGCGCATGCATGTTTTTCGCCAGGAAAAAATAAAAAATGTCGTCGAAAAATGTACTATGCCAGTATGTCTTTTATTTCGATGGCCGCGACGGCGATCCTTTATAAAATAAATATTATGCGCACCTACCATTGGCTCGATAGCTTTTATCGTCAAAATGTACTTAATAAAGACTGCATTGTTTAGGAACGGTTCCGCGTGGAAGCCGACGTGGCCGTTAACAGAGCCAACATGTTGACAAGGCTTTGGAAGTACGCTGGTCCCGAAGTCATGGACTCGGAATATCTTCTGCATGCCGGAGTGATTTCCATGGTGGAGTTCGACGATGACATATTCGCGGCGGGAAATTGTTATGATCAGCACCAGTACAAGCACTACCAGCTGTTCTGCCCGTACGCGTACCGGCTGCCCAAGGGCGAGGGCATATTGGCCAAGGACCTGGCCGTCGAGTACAAGTACTTGACCAACACAAGTGAATGGTTTTTCATCGCCCGAAAGACCGCTGAATCGGTCATAAAGCGCAACAATCAGTATAAACATGGTAAGCGTTATACTGACGTTTTAAGTCGTTGGTTGTTTTGGTTCATAAACCATACATTTATTATTAAAGAATTGTACATGAAAATACACGCAGAACGTACCGTAAGATGAAGTGTATAGAACCAGTGGAGTATATTTTAATGGGAGGGCCGGAGGGGCTCCCTTAAATAGGAGGATCTTCCACCCCAATTATTTTAGAAGTTGGGCTTTGGTTTCATATATTATGTATATTTCACAGTTTATCGTATCTATAATAAGACAACAGTCCAGACGTTTATCATAAAAGTATAGAATTTAAAAAGTGAGCAAGTATACCTAGGTAACCACTGTTGATAATGAATCTAGGACGCCCCCGCCCTCGGAAGGGTCAAATCCCACCCCCCAGACAAATAGACCTTTCTACTTTTGACTCACCAAACTACAAACATAATTCAATTCTACCAGAAACCTCCTCCAAAGTTCATGATTTGGTTATTTAAAAATATCACATGGTATCGTGTAAAATCAATACATTCAGCACTCCACTTAGAATCTACAAAATATTAGGCACCACCAAAGAAAAATTTTAATAAATTGATCCCCCCCCCATGTTTTAACCAATAACGAGAAGAAAAAGCAGTGGACAATTCATGGTACCCACATTCGTAAGACCACATATAGGACGTTGGTTGTTTTTCATCATTTGATTGACAAGTCGCGTGTGACTTATTAATCATTATTCTGGAGACGACACACACTTTACATAATATTACATATGACGTATAAATATTAAATACGTTATGTCGATTTTATTCTTTCCAATTTAATTTATTAGTATGCTTATATTTAACCCATGTGGCTGTGTTACAATGGATGCTAAACTTGGGCCCCAACTCCACTGGGTCAGTAAAGTCCTATTTTCCTAGAATTATTGAAGACCCACACTTTCTACACACATATAGATGTTTGATGACCTTTGCATAATACTGTTGAATCCGCGAGTTCAAAATAAACCTTTTCTGGATTGAAAACACGAAGTAGGTGACTATGTATTATATTTGGTACACTGAATGAGTTAATGGTATTAGACAAATTAAAGAGTTTATGAACAATAATACCTAACAACTAATGCAACTAAATATGAGAATTATTTAACTAAAAGAAACAAACTAGTTCTGTGAATAATTTACCAGAGTACTTACGTTAAGCTACACGTATTTAAAATATAAACAAATATTATACCCACATTCAAATGAAGTGGTTTAGTTGTTATTTAGATAATTTTACGTTTTAAAGGTTAGATAAATTATATTATTTTAAATTATTACATAAAATATATATTTTCAAAATTATAACTTCGTTCGAAGTTTACGTGTACTTTGTAATGTTGCCATTTTTTTGTTAGAAATGGAGAGCTCCATTATGGTAACTTTATAATAAACTAATAAAGTAAAAGGTAAAAATTACAACTGTTTTATAGTTGGAAGTCGATACTGATTTTTAGATTTCCTCATTAGGTACTTTATTACAAATGAAAGATAAAATAAATTCCAAATTCTTTGGTATCGGAGCAATAACAATAAGTCAAATATTAAGATGGAAAATATTATAAGTATTGTCATTGTGATTTTTAAAAACATCGATAATATTGTTTTGAAATAATAATATAATAAAAACAGCTAATAAACGATAAATATAAAATTACATAAGGTATAAGGTATAATACGTTATAATTTATAACTAAAAAACTATTCGCTTGAAGTTCAACTTTGATGTAACTATGTATTGAAATTCAACAAAACTATATACTTCATAATGCGATGACATTTTTTTTTTTAAAGAAAATTATTGATTAGTGTTTACCTTAAAAGTAATCTGCATTACTTGGAAACAGCATACTTAACACAATTAGAGTAAAATCAAAATGGTAATATAAAAACATGGATTATAAAACAAATTCAATTAACTGTTTTTTCTTAAGTACTTATGCAGTATGCTTAGTATACTAAGCCATTGTATACTGGCCATGTGAAAAAAAACAATCATTCCCAAATTAAACTTAATACATATTATATGAAACAAAACATAAATAAAGCATTGCAGGTACTGTAGGTAAGTACAATTCAATAAGGATAAATAAATAGAATCATGAAAACTTTACTTTTACATTTGTACTTAAAATAAACATATTAATTTTTTTTTTTTTTTGAGCATTTCAAATTTCGATAAATATCACTAAACAGTAAATACGTGTTTTGTATTTCTTTGGAATAAAAATAAAAATAAGACATTTTCAACGTGGCTTTAATGTGCAGTCCAACGGAACAAATATTTGTATTGTTTGATTCGACTCTTAATTTGACTATAAACCATGAAATTAAATCGTAGGAATAATCTGCGAAGGTCTAGGGTAATCGGAAACTACCGGAATTCAGATAATAAATCAACAGCTTCCCGGAACTACAATCATTTTGAATAATAACCATTAAACCACACAATACCTACACCCTAATAAATAGTAGCTGGTATTGATAACTGGTAGGGTTTTAAATATACAGGTATGTTTAGGTGCGATAATATTATACACTTCTTGTTATCTGATAATAATAGTGGGCATGTGTACGGACGAACAGATCCCAAAATTGTTTGGCCATAAAAAACAGAAACATTGCATTATCGTGTATCGATATAAATCCAATGTATTATTTAGTAAACCCGACCAAAACAACATGAGATAATAGGTATTAAGCATTTAAACAAATTACAAGTGCGCAGTCGGCTTCGGCTTAGACTATTTTTAATCCACGAGGGAGATGTTTTTTTTTTTTCGTTAAGAGTACAATTTTTACAACGAAATTCAATTTTCAATTTTTTATTTACGGTAAAAATCGCCTTTAAAGTTTGCAATAGCTAAAATGGTTTTGAATGACGCTAATTTCGATAGTCAAATTAAAACTGTACCAATTTATCAAAAGAAATTTATTCTTTCACGTTAAAATACACTATCGTTCATCATTCTATCGAGTATCAACGGGGATATAAAATATTATTAGTCGGAATAGTTATCATAAATAGAGCGTAAATAAGCAAAATTTATTTTTTATCCAAATGGTTTCCAGATGACAAGTAGTTGGTAGAAATATACCAACTTTTATAAAAATAAAATTAGAATGAAAAATACAATTATACCGATTCACAAGACACACATTTTTGAATATTACCTACTTTATTTTTATTTCTTAATCGTTTAGTGGGTTTCTAAATAACAATAATGCTTAAGAAGATCATGATATTTAAGTTATTTCTTTTGTAAGTTCATCAAGACAATAGAAATAAATAACTACTCCTCCAATTATAAATTACAATAAAAAAAACCGTCCTGAGTCCATAATTTATTATCAATCTGTTAAATTGAAAACTTACTTTATATTTTATAAACATATATTTTGTCTGTTTTTTATGTATGTAATATACTTTTCTTATTCTTAATACATTAAGTAATAATTTGTTACAAATAATAGAATGTTAAGACTCCTCCTTACTATACTGTATTCTAAGTAAATTGTATAGTCAACTCCTAATACATACAGCTATTAGCCTTGTCGTCGTTGTTTTAGTAGTAATTTTGTAAATGATTGCTCATAGTAGTAAACCGCAAAGTAGTAGCACGAAGGGATCTCTCACGCACTCACACACACCTGTCAGGTTACAACTTTGTTAAAATATGTTTATTTTTCTCTCAAATAGACAACTCTAAATCCAGCAATACGTCACAATGATTACATAGATTTCCATTTTGAGAAAATATTCTAATTTTCCACCACATGTAGGAAGGCTGAAGGATAAATCAAGGCTCATTTAGTATAATTGTATTTAGTTAACTAAATCATTAAGTTTGAAATTTCGCAAATTGTTGAAAATGATAACAAATTAAAAACATGCATTGCAATCTAAACTACGAAAATTCTGAATGTGGTTTTATCGTTCTCTTGTGATAATTGTCGATACTTATCGTTGAAATTGGACTGTATTTGACAGAAAAATGAGCATTTATGAGGCCCTTAAGCATTTTAATATAAAACAAATACGTAATTTCAAAGATTTTGAAAAAATATAAAACACATGTAATACTGTGTCCTAAAAGTAATAATATTCAACTGTAATCAACTTAAATTTTAATAAAACAACGTTTAAGTTATTAGGTAATATTTTAAAAACATGAGCATATTTTACTATAGTAAGTTGAATACAGATGTGAAAAGTATGAAATTAATACTGTTTTTAAATGTTAAGTGGAATACACCCTTTGTACGTGAAATAAAATACAACAACAATTATAATTTATCGAATTATACAAAACCTATACCTCAGTGATAGTTAATTAGACATACTCAATTGGCAACATTCACAAACATCTTGTATAATACAATTTGTTTGTTAATCATTGCAATCAGCAAGTTTCTTTGAACCATTGCCCATTATGCGCATGCCATTACACAGCAGACGGAAGTATTTTAACAATGTCATTAGTATAATTATTTTGATGTAAAATAATCGGTATGAAATAATGTTTTATTTAATTAGTACATTATTTATACAAGCAATTAAGCAGTAACAGGTGACACGCCTCGCACTGTAAAATATTTCTGTGGTGACAGCGAAGTTACAGGTAAATATTCGCTTAGGTTGCTTTAAATATTCTTTTTTACGTAAATCATATTTATTTATTTATGCCGTTTTCTTATGACTTTATATTTAACCGTAATATATGATTGGAATAGTAAATAAAGTTATAAAATAATAACAAAATGTAATATCTAAGGCAATTATTTTATTATTATTTAACTTACATATAGTTTATTTTTTAAGTTATATTGGTATATTTTAAATGTACTTGAATTTTTAATATAAATCATAGATACACGGATGTTTAGCACTTTACGGTACTTTCCAACATAATTACTTAGAAAATAACGGTGATGTAAAATACACTAATTAATTTTTAATAAATGGTATATAACA